AGCCCAACCCAACTCAAAATTGACTTCGAACTGGGTTGGATAGGTCGGGTTGAGTTAAGGTTAGGATTGGGGTTTAGAACTTAGGGTTAGGCTAGGTTTGGCCTCAACCTGGCCTAACCCGGCCTGCTTTGCAATCCTAATTGCTGGATTACCTTTCTAAATTATGCAGATCACAAAATTCGAGCAGCAGATCTGTAACAGAATTCGAGCAGCAGATCTGTAACAGAATTTTGGTTCTTTCCAAGGTTATTTTAGATAGAAATGATAAACTTTTAATTCAACAGTTGGGTGGGCGTGCCGGAGTGGTTATCGGGCATGACTAGAAATCATGTGGGCTTTGCCCGCGCAGGTTCGAATCCTGCCGCCCACGCCATTTGTTCCCCTAAAACTTAAAAGCACATTTTAATTTTGAGGATCATCTATTCAATAAAAAATCTAGCCAGGGGCAAGTGGGCGACTAGTCTCAAGACGCAATAATTTTCTCCTTAGCAAACTTGAAATTACTTTCCTCCCCAACCAACTCATTAAAAGAACGGCCACGAAAATTCATAATCTTCAGCCCGAGCGGAGGGGCCCTGCTTCTCGGGGGTTGGAATGGAACATTTTACTTGTTGATTTGGTCTCTGGTAAAAAATGGTTGAATCTGTTAACGATTCATTAATTTGAGTGGTCGAATTGTTGATTTGTTCAATAATTTTTTACTATTTTATATTTTTTTAATTGAGAATCATCTAAGCAATTAATTCCGTTTTATCTTAATCTTCGTCCTTGATAAAAAATTGTTGAATTGGTCAACGACCCATTAATCGAGGTGGTCGAACCATTGATCCATTGAATGGTATTTCGTCGTTTTCTTAATTTTTCAATTTTTGTTGTCAGAACGGGCCATCCATTTGAACCAAACAATTGAACCTTCCACCCGAAAACCGGTGGCCAGAACGGTTCTGTCTTCAGGTCGTATGAGTCACACGCTTGAATGACATAACATGTATAGTACTGTTTAATGGACCTCACACACTCAATTTTTTGCCTGTAATTTTCTTTTTGTCAGAACGGGTCGTCTGTTTTTTTATTTTTTTATTTGGGAACCGTCTAGGCAACCAGTTCCATTTTACCCCAACCCTAGTCCCTAGCCAAAAACCATTGAATCAGTCAACAACCCATTGACCCGAGTGGTCGAATCGTTAACCCGTTGACCCATTCAATGGTTTTTGGCCTTTTTTTATTTTTTTTTAATTTTTGTTGTTAGAACAGGCCGTTTGTTTGAGCCGGACAGTCGAACCGTTAACCCAAAAATCGGTGGCAAAAACGGTTCCATTTTTGGGTCGTATGAGTCACATGCTCGAATGACATAACATGTATGATACTACTTAATGGACCTCACACACTCAATTTTTTGCCTGCAATTTTTATTATCAAAATGGGTGGTCCGTTCGAATCGGATAATCAAACCGTCGACCCGAAAACCTGTGGCTAGAACGGTTCCGTAATTTTTTGCTTGTAATATTTTATTGTCAGAACGGGTTGTCCGTTCAAACCGAATGTCGAACCGTCGACCCAAAAATCGGTGGCCAAAACGATTCCGTTTTCGGGTTGTATGAGTCATACGCTCAAATGACATAACACGTATGATACTACTTAATGGACCTCACAAACTCAATTTTTTGCCTATAATTTTTGTTGTCAGAACAGACCGTCCGTTCGAACCGGATGATTGAACCATCGACCCAAAAACCGGTGACCAAAACGGTTTCGTAATTTTTTGCTTGTAATTTTTGTTGTCAGAATGGACCATCCGTTCGAACCGTCGATTGTCAGAACGTTATTAACAACATTTATCAATAATAGTAAGTAATTATATTATTTAATTAAATAATCATTAATGATAGTTTTAATAATATTATTTAGTTATTTTTAATATAACAGTAAATATTAAATTTATGAATAGGATTTATTAACAATATTCATTAAATTAATAATTACCAAAAT